GCCCAGCTACTTGGGAGGCTGAGGCAAGAGAATCACTTAAGCCCAAGAGTTTGAGGTTGCTGTGAGCTGTGACACCTCGGCACTCTACCCAGGGCAACACCTTGAGACTCTTAAAAAAGAAAATGCAGAAAGGTATAAAAAGGTGCACACAAGTGCTTTAAAAGCTCTCTTGATCCTGACCAATTTGGATATACATGAGCTTGCACTATCACACCAGAATCCTGGCCATGTCAATCCCTGTTCTGACCCCATCTGGCCTCTTTTTGCACAGTTCACAGTATACAGTGATGTCATAGCTCACATAGAAGTTCACACCTTTTATGGGGGTGGTGGTAGAGAAGTTTACACTGTTTGATCACAAACAACTAAATCCAAACTCCTGGTTAAAGACCCATTATTACCTTCTTTATATCTTCATGTTCATAGATGCTTGGAGCCAAGGCTGAAGCAAGTCTCTCATAAATGTCTGGCTTCCTGGAAAGTTCCTTAAGCAATTCCACACGTTTCTCTGAAAAAAGTTTCTGTTCTGCTTCTTCATCAAGGCCATGTAGACGTTTTGCATCCGTTTTCCGGTAATGAATGACGTCAATATGGGTTTTGTAGACAGACTTCACATTGCTCACTCGGGGGTGGACTCGAATAGGCACTGCCCGATAGATACCTAAGGGCACAACAGTAAGAAGGGCTTTTACCTTCTGGAGTCTTCATGACAGGCTCAGCAGCCACAGAGACAGCATAGGACTAAGGCGGGGAGGTGTGGAGGTGAGGGGGAAGCTAGAAAACACCCAGTTGCTGCCAACAGCAGACCTGAGAACATTTGCCTGTGCCTATGTGTTAATAATGACCTTAGGCAGCTCTCCGAGCACACCCATACCACATACATTTGTTTCAAGGGTGAAATGAAATTACTTTGCTTCTAGCTCAAGGCCCAGCTCATGGCTGGGTTCAATAGGTGTAGTTTAATTTCCTAAGCTGAGCACACAGAATCTGCTCAGCTCTTATTTGATTGGAACAAAATGGTAAAATCTCACACCAAAAACTTAAAAAGGAACTAAAAATTTATCTTTAAGAATCATTCATAAGTTATTTCATACACAGTAACAGTCTATTGCATCAAAGGTGAAGAAAAAAGGATTTTTTGTTGTTGTTGTTAATAAGAGAGGTTTTTTTTTTAAAAGATAGAAGTTTCATTCTGTCACCCTGCATAGAGTACCCTGGTGTAATAGCTATCTGTAATAGCTCACAGTAATAGTAATAGAGTACCCTGGTGTAATAGCTATCTGTAATAGCTCACAGTAACCTCCAACTCTTGGGCTTGAGTGATCCTCTGGCCTCAGCCTCCCAAGTAGCTGGGACTACAGGTGCCCACTATAATGCCAGCTAGTTTTTCTATTTTTAGTAGAGACAGGGTCTCACTCTCCTGAGCTCAGGAGATCTACCCGCCTTGTCCTCCCAGAGTGCTAGGATTACAAGCCCGAGCTCAGCCAACAGAGGCATTTCTGACCAAGTAGGTGTGTTCTGCCCTGTTTTCTGAAGAATATAATTCAAGGCATTACAAGTAGATGAATAACCAACACTTCAAGCACACCAACTGGATCTACTCTTCTAGAAAGTTTTCCCAAACTGAGGTTTGACATTTATCTTTTTATGATTTTACACTAGAAACCTTGAATAGTTGATTGTTTCCTCCTGCTTTTTTTTTTTTGCAACAGAGCCTCAAGCTGTCCCCCTGGGTAGAGTGCCATGGCATCACAGCTCACAGCAAACTCCAACTCCTGG